CATCACGTCGGTAAACGTAACGATAACAGCAGCAACCACCAGGTCTGAGACTTAGATAGTATATTAATATTATAAATATCGATCTACCCGTATTGATGCGGCTGGAGCTAGCTTTTCGGTTGTGCACAGTGATGTACATACCATGCTCCCACGGACCTTTGCGTGCTGCCGCAGTCGTATAAGATTTTTCAACACACGGCCGTAATAGGCTATGCTTATTTATTTACTTAGCTTACGTCGTCAAGTTAACCGCATATTTTTTACCGATTTTTAGGCGGTAAACTTTGCCTCATGGTTGCGTGTGAACGCTACATGACCTTCTGCTTTGGCCACCTCCAACTGGTGGATGTATATATTAGTGGAGAACCTGAGTTTTTGGAGCAAAATTATTTTGTCACATAGTATTTGCTATTGAGATTACGTTACGTTAACTGAACTTTTTTTTATGGGTCATAGGGATTAGGTGACATCGGTGACGGTTTGTTCATCACCTGCATTCCGATCTGCTGCAGCAGCCACAAATGTATTCTAAATGTAGACGATTTATCCACCTCAGCTAATGGATTTACTGCCTACTTTTGAGGTTCAAAAACATTCAGTGATTCCCAATGCTTTTTGGTTCTTATTAACGAAAAGCAAGCCCGGAGGCACATGCGTTCAGATCCGATTTTTGCACAAGCGAAGTGGATGGTGATTTGGAAGCATTTCCTGTTAGGGACAAAGGAATACGGCAAATTTCGCGTGAAGAAAATCGGCCATATTTTTTGGTAGAGGAGTGGGTAAATCCTAAAGCTTCTCGTAATTTGTGTGCAATTTAACAACCTCCATTCGCAGCTGATGCCAAAATAACGAAGCAAAATGTGTTCAACTATCCTAAGAAGCCTCAGAATCTAAACCAATTCTCTTAATAGAAAAGACGGAAAATCAAAGCGTCTTCTATCGGATATCTAGAAATAGGCTCAACTGCACACCCAGGAAATTTTGCACATCGCCACTCTGCTCAAGATCGAAGCTCACAATTATTCTAACCATGAAACTCGACATTTTTTGCCATGAAAGATAACCCGCGTAGCGGACAGTTTTTGGCTGAGAAAAATTCGCAAAATTGTATTTTATGGTACTCTGTTTCTGGGCTGACGTTTTATGGTTTAACTGTTAAAATAGCCAAAGCCACGGATTAAGAAAATAATTAGCCAGTATGGAGCAAAAATCTCAATAATGGGGGAGGAACGCATAGAAATGGATGGGTAGCAGACTCAAAATACGTATCACGGCCTACACACCAGAAACTGATTTACTCATGTGGACCAATAAGCCACAGGATTTTATTGGATATTTATCGGTTAAACTACCGAGTCTCTCTCACTTAGGAGACAGGCGGCTCTTTTGCAATGCCCTTTTGCGCTTTGGGCTATTGTATTAATGAACGGAGAACTTCATCAACCAAGAGTAAATCAAGAACTAGGACAAGGCTTCCGGCTTGAGCGTATTTTCTTCCGGCACACAGTGGGCAAAGCATCGACTGCTTACCCAGGCTCTGACTGGGAATATAAAGTGCAGTAATGTGGCTGAACTTGTGAAGAACTAGGTGCGGGCAAGCTTAATATTAACCACAGCGGGTTTCGAAAATTCAACGTTCCCTTCACACGCGAACCGTTGCCCAAAGCGCGGCGGTTTCGAGCCGAGGTGTTGGAAGTGGGTCTCCAAATTCAGAACATCAGGAATTACCTTCGAGCGCCAGTCTGCTTCTCTGTGTAAGTAGATGATAATTTGCCTTCATTTTGGTAAATTATGTGCCTTCTGAGCAGACCAAATTTTACAAGACCAAAGATGCTGTTATTATGAGGCTGAAACAGCATTGCAACCGAATACGCTGCCCCGGAACTCAGCAGACTGCGTTTTCTTACGTTTCGCACACCTTGTGTAGGCAAAGGGATACAAGCAAGTAAGTTTTGGGTTAGCTCTTTAAAGGTAGCGCTTGTGTGTTCCCCAGGTACATGTTGTTCACTTCCGTGGTCACAGACGGTTTTGGTACCACATTGCCGGTCACACGGCTTTTTGTAGCAGCAGGCAGTTTCCACACCTTTGTAGACTTTTTGGGGCCAGCAGAAGCTTGTGGAAATGATCCTCATGTGTCAGTTATCGGTACAGGTGCCAAAGGGGCAGGAGCTTTGGATTGTGATGCCACGTTGTGATATTTCGACGCATTCAAGGTTATTTGGAAAGCGCGTACGTCAGTAGTTTATGCGTACCAAATTGCATGACTTGTCCACACTTGTAGCACAGTGGGGCTCCTACTTATGCCTACTGTTTCGAATTGGACATTGGGCACCTCTGGGGTCCACAAACCTCACTCATTGGCCAAGAAAGAGCCTTTCAAGCGCAATTCAATGGCGATCACTTAGGCTGTGACCGAATAAGGTCAGGCAAACGCCAGCGGCCACAAAAAAGGGTAGGTACACTTCTAGTTGGTTCGGAGCACCAACGGGTTCATGTGAGAATGCGAAATGCATGCCTTATACAATTACGACTAATAGCGGATACTGGATGGCAATGATCTTTTATAGCTTGGTTCACTGGAACAATGCGCACGCATCCCTCATGTTAATGCACCTGAATTGATATTGACGCGTTGGAACTGCTAAAGTGAGTTGAATCTACGATCCGTGTTATGAGATGTCTGCCAGAAACCTCCAGGTAGTTCCAAGCACCGACAGAGGTAGGTAGACATACTGTATCCGCCAGGCTTTTATGTGATCTATTTGTCCGGCCTTCTGATCCATTCTGCCACATTTTAAATAAAACTTATTGATGGGAGTTTTCTTCAGGAGGGTTCCTCATCCACCATTGTGTTTATGTTGCGGTGTCCCGAGACAAGCACCACCTATTTCACTCGTCTTTAATCCACAACCCCACAAAAACTTGTAAAACCTGTTAACCGCGTTGCGCACAAATTGCGCTCTCCGAAACCTAAAAAGGGTCACCTCTTATAGGAGGCCTTGTTTGCATCTAAAAAGTTGACTGAGCATTATACATCACTTGCTTGCTTTACGCTCCTTAGATTTAACAAATGAGATGATTTTAATAATAATACTAATAATAGCAATAATAATAGTGTGTATTCCCAACTTGTGGGTGCGAGGTGGTTAATTCGAACAGGTAGTCCAATAAATTGGAATGAATGTCATGGTGGTCGTTGGGGTCAATGAAACGAGTAGGCAAGAGGGCCCCTTTGTGAGGAGGAATGGAACAGTTGCGAGTGTGCTACCAAACTGAGTATGGCAGTGCCGTGCCGTCATTAGTTTGACATGCTTCGGTTTCTGGACAGCCCCGCACATTTGAGATGATTCAGCTGGGAGTGTGCAGTTCATTGAGCAGCGGTATTCATTTCAGCCTGGCCGAGGAAACAAGCTTGAGAGAAACCGATATGTGATTGTAGGTTTCCTTGGTCCGCTTGGTGATCCCGGAGTTGTACATCACAGGCCAGGTGGAGTGGAGATAAGCTAACCAGGTCGTCCAAAGCGGGCACTTCCGAAGTTCAAAGCTTGAGAAGGTGAGGGGATGGGAGGAGATTCGCAAAACATAGTGAGTTTGAGGGGATATAAAATGAGATAATATGCATTATTATACACAGAATGAAAAACTTGGCGTCTGATGCAACTAGGGTGATGACAAGTAATTACATGGAGTAGGAAGTCGATAGATTTGTACTTAGTAGGCTAGAGACCAGGGGCTGAGTTTGCTTACATACGATATTATATTACAAGGGATCTAGTAAAAGCCGATATAAGCGCGCTGAAACGTGGTATGGGAATCAGATGTGTAAGGGCTGGTAAGAATGGACATCTAAGCTAACTGGTTAATCGAGTGTTTATTATATGAGTTGGATAATACCAGGAGAGAATGTGTGTGCTTGAGAAATAGTCACCAGTCCCCGAAGCACTGCTATCAGCTCTAATCTGTAGGTGATGCATAGCGATGAAGACTTTTGTGTCTACTACTGGGAGTGGTGAGTAGATGTATTATCTGTTTGGATGACGGTACGGGCTATGGTGCGGTGTAGCCTCTGTTCTGACGAAAGCAGATACAACTATGCTCGCCGATGTAGACCATGGGCATTGCAGAGTAGCTTCGGGCTATCCCAAGTGATCTTTTAATTTCTTTTTTTTTACAGATGAGAGGCCAGTTTTTTCCATCTGTGGTTTGAGTTCATGTCAGCCAACTGAGTCACTGAGTTACTCGGACCTCATGCCTATTATTCCCTACAAGTTGCAAAAGAAACATATGATTATTATTTAATCGAGTACCTCCCACTGTTTGTGACATTTTCCCCTTTTCGCGCAGTCACCACTACTCGCAAATCCCTCAGTAATGCCTCATTCTGACTGTAAACGCGTGATCATGCCAGACGGCATGCGACCCACAAGTTGGGAATAAACATTGTCATTGTCATTATCATTATCACCATTGCCAGTTGCATAACTCCACCGAGGCGAGCCCAACACCAGCGACGAACCTGGTCACAACACATTTCCCTATGGATCTCAACCTCCATTAAGTGCAACGTTGTTGGAAACAGGGTGAACTGTGCGGCGGTGATGCGAGGGTCATCTCTGGATGGTCCGCTTCCCGGAAACGCACAATTAGCCCGTAGATAATGCAGCTTAACTGGGTAGCTGCAAGCATCATTCCTAAAATGAATAAGATGTTCTATAAGTGGTGACCGCCAAAAAGCGCTTGCCATGATAAAGGTAGCCGTTGTCAGCCACCTCGACTACTTATCGTAACCGCTGAGTCCGTGTCTATGTGCAACGTCGATTATGGGGCCAACGACGGGCCTTATTTACGCCCGGCAGCCTAATCCAATGAACAACGACGGACCCCTATACTCATAACTCTACACGTTGCCACTCATCTTGAATACTTACTGTCACCGCTAGGCACGCGTCTATGTGCGACGCTGACTCTAAGACCTCGCCTCTGCACAGTGACATAATCCAATGGCCAACGACGGTCCTTCATATCCACACCTATACGTGATACCGCTTATCTTTGCTACCTGTAGTGAACACCAGGCCAGTATCCGTGCGTGATTGTAAAAACAGGGCCTGAACTACAGTGAGAGCCAAATAATACTTATTTCTGTACTCCATGTAGCCTCACCCAGTTACTTATCGTACCTGATAGGCCC